CTTTTAGGTCACCATGCCGCCAAACAACAGTCAGCTGCCTCGCCCGGACCTCCAGGGTCACCGTCTCTGGTCTGGCCTCTCCGTCATCTCCAAGCGCTCCTTTCGCTCCTACACCTCATCCTTCGAGGCCGACGACGAGCGCTCCTCGACCGACGGCGACATGAGCCCGCCGAGAAGCAGCGACAGCGACAGCGACGACGCGCCCGGCCGGCGCCTCGCCGACGTGGACCGGTACGCGGGCCACGATGCGCGTCCCACGAGCCGCAAGGAGCTCGGCGGCTGGTACGCGTACTCGTTCGCGGCAGAGACGTACGTGGTTTGCGGCATCGGTAAGGCTACCCGTACTTTGCAGATGGCGTATCCTGACGCAGCTGCGCGTGGGAGGCCCGCGTCGGCGCAGACTAACACGAGGTCCCAGGCTCCTTCATCCCCATCCTGCTCGAGTCGCTCGCACGCGAAAACGGCGTCCTGCTCTCGGACCCCAGCAAGCCGTGCGGCTCCAGCGACAGCAAGGACGAAGATGACGGGCAGTGCGTCGTCTACGTCCTGGGCGTCGAGATCAACACGGCAAGCTTCGCCATGTACACGTTTTCCGTGAGCGTCTTGCTGCAGGCGCTGCTCGTCGTCAGTATCAGCTGCGCCGCAGATCACGGCAACTACAGGAAGAAGCTGCTCCTCGCCTTTGCTTGGATTGGTAGCTTTGCTGTCATGGCCTACATCCTCGTTAGCAAAGAAACGTACATCCTCGGCGCCATCCTCACCATCATCTCAAACACGTCGTTCGGGGCGTCGTTTGTTCTCCTCAATTCCTTCCTCCCGCTGCTCGTCCGCCACCACCCGGAGGTTTTGGAGGCCCAGGCCAGCAAATCTTCAGACTTGAATGGCTCCGGACCCGAGCCACGACGAGCGGACGACTCTACGGACGACTTTGATTCATCCCTCGCCAACTCGAGATCTGGCTTGTTACCCGACGAAGCGGGTGCTGCGTCGGAATGGCCATCAAAGCACGCCGTGACGCAAGCAGAGATCACGTCCAAGGAGCTCGAGCTGTCGACGCGCCTGTCAGCGACGGGCTTGGGAATCGGCTACATCGCGGCGCTCACGGTCCAATGCATCTCCATTGGCATCCTGCTCAGCATGAAGAACACGACCTGGTCGCAGCGCGTGGTGCTGTTCTTCATTGGGTCCTGGTGGGCGGTCTTCACGATCCCCGCTGCAATGTGGCTCCGGCCGCGCCCCGGGCCGCCGTTGATGGCCGGCGACCGCAAGGATCGACTCACGTGGATATCCTATTTCACCTACGCATGGAAGTCGCTGTTCCGTACGATTCGACTAGCTCGACGCCTGGCGGACATCATGCTGTTCCTTGCGGGCTGGTTCCTGCTGTCAGACGCCATCGCGACAACGTCATCGACGGCTATCCTGTTTGCCAAGACTCAGCTTCACATGCGGCCGTGGGCGTTGGGCATGATCAACGTGATTGTCACACTGACGGGAGTCTTTGGCGCCTTTGGCTGGTCGTGGATGTCGCGCGTCTGCGGGCTCAAGGCGCACCAGACCATCTTGGTGTGCATCGCTCTCTTTGAGCTGATTCCGCTGTATGGACTCATGGGCTATCTGCCTTTCGTCCAGAGATGGGGGGTTCTGGGCCTGCAGCAGCCATGGGAGATGTATCCTCTGGCAGCGATATACGGCATCGTCATGGGTGGGCTGAGCAGCTACTGCCGGTCACTATACGGCGAGCTGATACCGCCGGGGTCAGAAGCCGCCTTCTACGCGCTCTACGCCATCACGGACAAGGGATCCAGCGTGTTCGGGCCGACGATTGTGGGCGCCATCATCGACAGGACAGGGAGCATCCGCCCTGCCTTTTGGTTCCTGGGTGCCCTGGTTGGGTTGCCGGCTCCGCTCATATGGTTCATCAACGTGGAGCGCGGCCGACGACAAGGCCACAAGCTTGCGGAGACGATTGAAGGGTTCTCGCCGTCGGCGGAGGAGGACACGCAGGACGAGGCAGAGAGGCGCGGGATGATGGCTGACTATGAAGAGGATGGCTAGAGGGCCACCATCCGTCTGGAAGCCGTTGGATCAGTGTTGAGTCGTGATTGAGCATAGCGACGGCGTTTGGTTGTGCTCGCTTTGAGCGAGTTCTGGTTTTGTTCTCGTAATGCTGCGTACGAGTTGATGCGACTTGACAGGGGATGGATGCAGGGGCAGATTCGACCAACTGAGATGCGGCGGGGTTCCGAAGAAGCCGTGTTAGTCTTGTTTGACTTTGTAATGTAGCTTGACGGGCATAAAGTACACGAATCAAGTAGACGTCTTTGTCGTCATGCCTCATGGAACAAAACACACAGGCAAATGCGTCGAGTCAAGCGGTGCAGCAAGCCCAGTTACAGGAGGTGCGATAGTGCGCGTGATCCGAAGACCATGCTGTATGTGCCCGGTCCTCCATATGGCCAGTCAGCACATGGGGCAACCAAGCTTGCCAACCGGCTCCTTCCAACGGCCGCGAGGCGAGGTGTGTTGGGCGGGCGTGGCGGAGTGGAGGTCTGATGGGGGCGCGTCTATTACTCAGTTGCTGCCTAGGTTGCTGGGAGTGTGAAGAACGCCCAAAACCAACTGTGCTTGGACGAAACTCGGAAGTCGTGGTAGCGCATACAATCTTCGCAGGTGCTTCGTGGCAGCGCGTAAAGCGGCGCTTTCTGCATTGGCAGAAATGCGTGTAATATCTCTAGTGCCTGTCTGGCGTTCACCTGGTCAACTAGTTAATGGATGGAGCCTGGTTGGCGCGCGGCGGCGCGGTGGAAGGAGCCAGACACGCGCGCCTTCTTTGTCTTCCGCCACTGTGCTTGGCAGCTGGAGCGGAGGAAAGCGCCGCCGACACGCGCCTGCTGCGCCAGTGACCCCTCTCATGCCCTCCCAGCTCCTCTCCATTTCAGCACGGGCGCCCGTTCCTCGCTGGCCGGGGTATGTACCTAACAGGCAAAAAAGCTGTCCGGGTGGTTACCTCTCTGCCTTACAGCGCCGCGCCCGCGACTGATACTACTGCCGCTGCTAACCCAATAGGCCTGGGTTTTATTTGCCCACCCAGCCACCGCGATTCTTCGCCAACTCGCCGTCGGACTGCCTTCGAGTCACGCTTCGCACCGCACCGCACCCGCGCTCCCCATCTCGGCGACCCGAGTCCTGCGGTCGAGCTGCGACGAACGCGATTGACGCCGCGACGCCGGACGCTCGAAATCCGGATCCGAGCCGCAACCCCGACCGACCTGTGTAACGTGTGCCCCTCGCCGCGCAGCCCGTCCGTCGCCTCCACCACCCAGCCCGAACCCCATCCGTCCCCTCGCGCCGCGAAAAGCATCGTATCCCCAGTGGGTGCCGCAGCAGCCCGCAGCAGCCGCACTCGCCGGCAGCCTCAGCGCACCCCAGCGGCCGGCCGGAGCTCTCCCTGCTGGACACGCCCGCCCGCGCGCGCCAATGCTGGTGCGCCTGGCCTTCTTCCTCGACCTCCTCGACCGGACATTGGTGTGATCGAGGATCTTCGGATCGCGCTCTCCCGAGTGCCGCCGCCCGCGACCCTCCCGCTGCACCAGCCCGCCGCGCGTCATCATGAGCTCCAAATCGAGGAAGCGGTCCCGCGCCGTCACCGACGAGAACCGCGCCGACTGCCCCTTCGCCGTGACGCTCGTCACGACGCCCTCGTATGAGGAGCGGGACCATGTGGCCAAGAAGCGCAAGCGCGACGGCACTGAAGACGACCGGAGCTCCAAGGAGCTGATACAGGTGTCGCCCTTTGCACCCAGGGGCAAGTTCAAGACGCATCAGACCATGGACGTGTCGTATAGCGTGGAGCCGCGCAAGCGCTGGCTCGACATGACGCGATACAACAGCTTCGTTCGTAAGTAGCAGCCTCCTCGCTGATTGTTTTGCGACCACCCTGTTAGCTGGCGGGCAGCTCGCTGACTCACGACCGCAGTCAACAACGTCAAGTACTACAACGAGAACTATGTCTACATCGCCAACGACGCGACGATTGAGCGCCAAAAGGCGACCAACAAGGACCCCGAGCGCCGGGGCCTGCTACAGTCCGCCGACTACTGGGTGGCCAAGATCCTCGAGGTTAGGGCCCTCGACGAGCACCATGTCTACGCCCGCGTCTACTGGATGTACTCCCCCGACGAGTTGCCGTCGAACACGCTTGACGGGAAGAAGGTCGTGTCTGGGCGTCAGCCGTACCACGGCCAGAACGAGTTGATTGCGTCAAACCACAGTAAGCGGACTTGTTCGTCTCGTGTCCTGCGCGGCCGAATGCTAACGAGAGACAGTGGACGTCATCAATGTCGTCAGCGTTGCGATGCGCGCCGAGGTCAATCAGTGGGTCGAGGCCGACGACGACCAGATCCAAGAGTCGCTTTATTGGAGACAGGCTTTTGACTGTCGTACGTCGCAGCTCTCGGTACGCCTCCCCCGCCCCGGTGACACAAGGAGGATCCATGCTGACATGTGCCTCGCAGTCCGTCGAGCTCACGTGCAAGTGCAAAACGCCCGCGAACCCAGACAAGACGCTTGTCGGGTGCACCAACTCGAACTGCGAGCAGTGGCTTCACAAGGAGTGCCTGCTGCACGATATCCTGACGCGCGTGTACGACGAGCTCGGAACCGACAAGCCACACAAGTCCAATGACTTGCCAGTCAAGATGGAAACGGACGACGCGCCCAACCCTGCGCTGCGCTCGACAACCCCGACCGGAATCAAGGGCGAGGGAACACAGTCTCCAGCAGGCCTCAAGCAGGGGCCGAATGGGGACGTCGCGCCACCGAAACAGCTCGACGGCATCACGCCCAAGGCGACCGAGTCGCCAGCCCCGGGAACGCCAATCGCCGCAACCATCGAGAAGCCGTCAAGATCATCGTCGGTCAAGAGGGGCCGCGGGAAGAAGGCCGCCGTCGAGAGCAAGCCGTACGAGGGCTTGTTCGAGGCGGAGCTCATCCTGGACAATGGGCCGACGGCGTGGCAGATCACGGACCTGAGACAAGGCGTGACGGGAGGCGACCGCACCTGGACGCAGCCTGCTACCTGCTTGGTATGCGGAACCAAAATCGACTGAATCCTAGACGAGTGATCTACGGCCGTATAGCTCGGGTGTTTGGATAGCTCGGCTAGTTATCCTACGCAAGGTGTCTTCCATCTCTCTTTTCTATTTTCATTGTTTCATCTGGATCAGCTTTCGCACGCCTTCTTTTTCTGGGTATATATATACACGAAGGGGAGATGGCGGTGGCAACGGCAGCAGCTCTGAGAAACCCGTTGGCGTTTACTTGGGCGGATGCGTCACTCTGCGAGCCAGGCGTCGAAAAAATGGGGGAGGGTGAGAGTCGACAGCGAGGGGACGGGATGCTTTGACGAGGTCAGCGGCCGGGCGGAGCTACCTGTTGGCTAACCTGCACGGTTCGCGCTGGCCTCGCGCCTTGATTTCACTTTGTTTTGAGTGTGTGCGTGTGTGCGTGCGTGCGTGCGTTTGGCATCCACGACGGGCAAGGCGTTTCTGCGGGAATCGTACTACGTATGTATATACCTTTGGTATGGGGGGGATGGGCCGGCGGCGGGTTGAGGTGTGCGCGAGGGCGGTTTCAGTCCAGTCCAGTCTGGTCCGGTCGGAAGGCAGGCAGGCAGGCAGGCAGGCAGCGGCGGTGATGGTGGTGGTGGTGGTGATGGTGATTTTGTGGTTGCGTGTTTCTTCTTGGGATAAGGTAGCTTCGGTGTTGACATTGAATGAGTTTGAATCACTGGCTTATGAATTGGCCCATGTGCCGTTGTGAAAAGAAATGTGCTTTGTACTGTAGATCCGCCAAGCTCGTGTCGCGCAGTAGCATTGAGGGCCGCCCGCTGCGTGTACCACTATCCATGGATGTGTTTTGCGGCCGTTGGCGATGGCACCTTGTCGGTGAACCTGCATGTCAGCTGTAGGCAAGGTAAGGTAGGTAGTTCACCTAGCTGACCAACCACGCTGAGTCGCTGACCGTGTTTAGTGGGCAAGTGGTCCTCCGTAGCAGGCACGCAGCCAATTCGCCCCGGGCGTTGCGACCCCGCCGTTCCGCAATCCGCAGCCCGCACCCATCGACCGACCAAGCGACCCCGCCGCGTCAGACCCAAGCAAGCAAGCAAGCTCCCGGAGCTCGCCTCATCCTCATCCCAGTCCCATTCCCAAGCCGCGCACCGCATCGCATCTCGCATCGCAGCTCCACAGCCCGCCGCAGCGACCCCCAAGACGGACGAAGAGATCGAGGACGCCTTCGCTCACCACAGGCACGGTCGTTCAAAATGGCCGCCGCCGCGGACCCCTTTGACTCGGCGCTGTACGATACCGTCTCCCCCCTCCCATCTCCCTCCGGGGTCGTGGCCCTCGGGTGACAAGCTGGCGGACATCTGACTGATTGCTCAACGAAAAAGGGACCTCCTCCGGCGGCTGAACCCCAAGCACACGGCCGACCACCTCAATGCTATCATCTCGCTCGCGCCCGACCTGACCGAGGACCTCCTCTCGTCGGTCGACCAGCCGCTGGCCGTGCGCCGCTGCCGCCAGACGGGCCGCGAGTACCTCCTCTGCGACTACAACCGCGACGGCGACTCGCACCGCAGCCCCTGGTCCAACCAGTTCGACCCACCGCTCGACGAGGCCGGCGCGGGCGGCGTCGGTGCCGACGGCAACGAGGGCGCCGGCGAGGGTGCCGTCCCCAGCGAGCGCGTCCGTCGCATGGAAATCAAGGCCAACGAGGCCTTTGACATCTACAGGGAGCTGTACTACGAGGGGGGCGTGAGCAGCGTCTACTTTTGGAACCTCGACGATGGCTTTGCCGGCGTCGTGCTGCTCAAGAAGAGTGAGTCCCCCACGCTGGCATCACTCTGCAGAAGCACAGCCAACGAGCACGGAGACTGACGGCGAGCTTTTCGCGGGGTCAACAGCGGCGACCCCCGGTGGAAGCAGCGAGGGCGTCTGGGACTCCATCCACGTATTCGAGGCCATCGAACGCGGCCGCACGACTCACTATAAGCTCACCTCGACCGTGATCCTCTCCCTCTCCACCGCCGAGGGCTCCATTGGCGACATGGACCTCAGCGGCAACATGACGCGCCAGGTGGAGCAGGACCTCCCCGTCGACAGCGACGAGAGCCACATCGCCAACGTCGGCCGCCTCGTCGAGGACATGGAGCTCAAGATGCGCAACCTGCTCCAGGATGTCTACTTTGGCAAGGCAAAGGACGTGGTCGGGGACCTGCGCAGCGTGGGCAGCCTGAGCGACGGCGCCCGGGACAGGGAGACCCAGAGGGAGCTTATTGGCAGCATGAGACGATAGAAGAGCGCCGGGCCTTTTTTCGGAAGCGGAATGAAGACCGAGCGGGAACACACAAAGTCGGCCTGATGGCGTCCTGATAGTGTCCCGATGGTGAAGCGGCCGGGCGCTCTGAGACATGTTAGGCCCTCTTCTTGACAAGCCAATGTCGATGGCGTGCTGGCCACGGCTTGACATGGCCGTGCGCTGCGACTCATGCATCAAGCGCTGACGGGCAGCTGTTGACTCGGCGCCGTCAAAGTCTGGCAGAAATAGAAGTAACTTATCCACGCCGAGACAATAGTCCTGCTCACCCAACCCTTGGCTCATGCCGGGCCGGCTTCCGCCCGCTACTGGCGGCCGGCATTTCAATCCATCTGGCCGAGATCGGGACCATGACGCCACGGCGCCGTTTGGATTCGGGTGATGGCCACTGACGGCGTCCGCTGGGGCCGTGTGGGCAAGTCGAGAGCCGCAACGAAAGCCGCGCGTATGGAGCACCCGCGCCAAGGGCACCTAGTAGCCTTGGACCTGAACATGGCCGGGGGCGCACCCTGCACATACCACGGGACGGTATTGCGCATAAGTCTGCAGCGGGCGCCAATTTCAGGGCGTCTATCAAAACGGCATGCGGGTCGACAGCAACAGCAGGTGTCCGTGGCACCGGGGCTGCGGGCCGGCAAGGCAGCACCTCACCTCCACGGAACCGTTGAATGACACTATTCCCTTTGTTGGGGTGGCTAACGTGCACTGAGGCAGCCTCCGGACACCAACCGAGAAGTCGGCTGCGCCAGCAAAGCAAGGCAGTGGTGCCGGCGTGGTTGACGGAATCTTCTGGACTTCCTCTCTGTTGTCGTGGCTTGCGATAGCGCAGGTCGTCTTCTGTCATTCGACATGTATGCTTGCTTTTTTTACGACCTGCAGCTCCGAGCGAGGACCTTGACGTGCCGGGTGATGACTTGCAGATGCATGCCCATGTCGGGCATTTGCATGCTTGCTTATGCAGAATCTGTCCACTGGTTGGGTTCATCCGGTGACGGCACTCATCCTGGTCGACATGTCACGACAACTGGCCAGGCCAAACGGAAGGCGTCTCGCTGCGCCGTTCCAAACCCTTCTCAATCAAACGAAGCACATCGTCGGAGCTTCAACTGCGGCAATAAGCTGGCCTGGTCCTGGGGCCGCTTCCTAATCAGAAACGGTGACGCCACTCCCCGCCAAGAACGTCCTCTTGGGCCAGCTCCAATATCGGGCTTGGAACATGCTCTCCTACTCGTGATTCCACCCATCATGGTTGGTCAATGTTCCGTGACAAGGCTGGCAAGACGCTCGGGACTACCGTCGCAAGCCCACGTTTATTACCGGCGCGGTTTGATCGAGCGGTCCGCCGTGCAAGCGCTACGCCACTTGGAGAGGCGGCGGCCAGGTGGATAGAGCCTGAGTCAGTGCTCCGGCGCAGATGAGCTTCTCGGGATCGCGAGGCAAGTGCCGCGCTTCGTGGCACGTCGACACCGAGGAAGCCGAGGGAGCATCGACGACTCTTCCGTGCCGGGCGAATGGATGCTCAGATTGAAGCGGTGAAGACGGTGGCGCACCCTCTCCAGTGTCAGACCCGACATCCATGCGCTTGAAGAGTGTGGCCAGGGAACGACAGGAAGGCATCCCAGTCTTTCTGGCGTATCGCCAAGGAAGGCTCGCTCCGCTTGTCAGCCTCTGCATGTTCCCCGAGCTGGTCTACGAGAGCGCCATCCAGCTAACAAGGCGTGGCGGTATTCCTAGCCCGCTTGCGCCGGTTTGTAGCGTGTTGCGGCAGACTGCTTTGTGCTTTTGTGGCTGTCAACCGAGACAGGCGCAAAAGGCACTACTTGTGCCACCCTGGGGGCAAGCTTCTGCGCTGGACGCAGCGAGCAGGCGTACGCTTGTGGCACAGGTATCGGGCGAGAGGAAACAGACGCAAGGCACAGCGCTGTCGCGGTTAGGTTCGCCGTCTCGCGCAGTATTGGACGCAAATGTGTGGCCCGAGAAGGCAACCCTGGAGTTTCTGCAGCGTCTCGTGGGTGATCAGTGTGGAGACTGGTCAACAATCCACTTGTCTCGAGAGGCGATGGTCTTACATGGTGCATATGCATGACAACGAAGAGTATGGAGCCCCTGAAACGGTCGAGAGCCCGCCGGGCTCCGTCACCGGGCCTGAGATGCTGGGGTTACCGCCATGGCAGAAGCTCAGTCGCGAGCGGGAGAACTAGTGAAAGTAACCTCGCTGGAAACCTTCTAGAACGGCGGAGAAATGGGTCTTTCGAGCCCCGCGGTCAGGACCAGTTGTATGCCCCGTTTCCCTGGGACAATCACTCAATTGCTGTCGCTCAAGACATCTCTCGTCGTTGGCTAGCCGTCGTGTTCCAAGCCAGCCGTCCGGCCCTGTCGATCGAAGTCGTGTCCGGACACAGGCGAGCATTGGGAAATGGTCAACCTGGAATGGGTGGGTTAGGAGGCCCACCACCAAGGCGGTCTGTCCGTCGTGGCCTTTCAGCAGCGTCCACTCACTCCCGGGCCGGTACGAAGTAGTGGGCTCCTGGCTCCTCAAGAGCGCGCGACGCGCTCCTCGAGGCCAATCTCGGCGCGGTTCGTCCCACCAAGCGTTGCACATGGTGGTCCCACTCCATCGTCACTCGCCTCCGACCCAGCGGCCACAGCCAAGAGATGGCGGGAGGCTTGCCAGAACGGTGGTTAGCAGGGTGGGAGACCTACCCGGAGCCCCAGCGCCGACACTACCAGGTCCGGTTGTGGGCGTCGGCTCGGGTCGCTACAGAGCGGGAAGGCAAGCGTCGGGACGTGCTTTTGGCGCTGGCTACCCCTGTGAGGGTCAGTGAACGCCCGGCTATGAGGATCATTGCGGGCAGCGGCTCGGCGGCTAGGGCTCAGTCTATGCCGACCACGACGTTGAATCCAAGGGGCCCGGACGCCGTGAGGGAAGAGGTGAGATGACCAAGGCCGCAGCTCGGGTCCTGAGCGGAGAGTCGAATGTGCATCTGTCGATGACCGTTCACTCGCGCAATCTTGTAGATCTCTGGGCTTCGTGGCTGGTGAGCGCTCACGCATGATCCCATGTTGGGGCGACCAAGGCATGGGAGGCAAGCATGGTCGGGACGCCCCCGAAGCTGATCATTCGGGGTCATTAGACAGAGACAGAGGTCGCGTTGTGGTGGGGCGTCACAGGGGCTGGTGACAAGGATGGCGATGGGACCTGGCCTGCTCTGGACCAGGGGCATGCGTCTGAGGCGGAAATTTCGGGCGCGGCAGAGGCGTCGTCGCCGCGGCGTCTTGTTCGTCGTCTGGCGCGCCGACCGGAGTACAGCGTGGGATGAAGAGGGAGCGAGAATTTGAAGCATCGCACCCCGACATCATCGACGAGGCATGCGGGACCTGGCCGAGTATGTACGGCTACGCCGCAATTGACGCTAGGCGCACCCATTCAGCGGTTTGTTGGAAGCCGATAAATTGCTGGACGACAGAGAGGACCACACCTGGGCAGGGGCACAGCAGCTGATACCGTAGTCGTCGGCGAAGCTGGAGGAGCGGGTATGGTGGCCTGGCAAGTTGGGCCGGCGTCAGAGTCACTCATCAAACGCGCGTCGAGGCAGCGCACCGGCGCATTCAGGCCGCCCTGGGAGTGTCAGGAATGAGAAGTGAGGAGAGAGGGATGCGAGAGAGCGAGAGACACGCAGAGGCAGAAAGAGCAGACGACTTCGCATGGAGAGATGTCGTCGACTTGGAGACCCCCGGACGGACAGGCGTGGACAAGGCACCCCGAGTGCCTGGCCTGGCCTGAGGACAGGAGGGTCGTCGTGGCGGTGGAACCGGCTCGCCCATCAGCGCCGGCGGGAGCAGGCGGGATTGCGGGAGCACCACCACCACCACCAGCCCGCAGAAGCTGGTGCATATTAAAGACGGGACCGAGCCCCTCCATGCCGGCATCCCTGACGCCGCCTCTTGTCTGCTTTGTGCGCTCCCGTCTCGTACATTTTACTACGCAGTTGCATGCGGCCGGAGCACGGAGCACGCTACTGTTGTTGCCTTGCCTGCCCAAGGTATTATACGGCACGGGTGCCCGCCTGCCCTTCTCCCGTCCCTCTGCCCGCTGCCCGCTGCCCGCCTCCCGCCTCTCGGTAGCACGTCGCACCTCGCCGTACTCACTTGGACTGCTCGCCGCTCGGCTTGCGCTGCGACTGCGTGCGTCTCTCTCTACCTTACCTTTCAAGGCTCGTCGCCCGCTCTCGCCTTCCTCGTCGCCCGCCTTCTGCTTGCCGCAAGGCGCTCCTGCATTTTTCGACTTCCTGCTTTCCCCTTACTTTTCAGGTTCCTTCCTCCCCTGCTTCTTTCCTTCCCTCTCTTTCCTGCTTCCTTCCTTGGCCCCTTCCCTTTCTGCCCCTCCTCTGCCGTTGCGCAGGCTACTCACTGCGTCATTTGCGACCCCGACTTCTCCATTGCGCCTTCTCGTTGCATCTGCGACTTCCTGCGCCGCGATTCGAGCTGTGGAGGAAGGTGCGTTGTGGTGGACCTGGCAGCACCAGCTCGGCGTTCGTCGACCTTCCCGTCCCTCCTGAGCCAACCCTTTCCACTTCGACACCCGAGCTGCCGTCGAGTCGACGCCCCTGCGTCCGCAACCGCACCCGCCTTCGCCGCCCAACTGCTACTGCCCCGACGGAGCGACGCAGAATCGATCGTCTCTGCCCGGCACCGACGGTTTTGTCGCACCGGTGATTGTTCGGTCGGCTGCCGTGAACCGCACTCTGCGCGCCTGCCGCTACCCCTCGGCGCGCGACCCGACCAAGCGGAGCCTGCCCCTCCTCGGCTGCCTCACCCGCCGTCCGCCTCCAACAACGGCACAGGATCACTTTACCAGGCAACCGACGTGCAACCCCACGATCGCCCACAATGGCCGACGAGAAGCCGTCGGTACTCATCATCGGTGGCCTGGGCTACATTGGCCGCTTTCTAGCCCTCCACATCCATCGGAACCAGCTTGCCTCTGACGTGCGTCTTGTCGACAAGGTGCTTCCCCAGCTTGCTTGGCTCGCTCCAGAGTTCTCCGACGCCTGTTCGCAAGATAAGTTTATGCAGGCAGATGCCAGCAGAACCGGTGAGTTGTGTCGAGTCTGTTTGAGCCCCTGGACCATCTGGCTGACGCAAGTGCCTTCCCGGCCTTTCTCGTGTAGAAGGCTTGGCTAGGATATTCGACCGTCCAGACGGGAAGCAATGGGACTACGTCTTCAATTGCGGTGGCGAGACGCGATACTCTCAAGAAGACGAGGTCTACAAGTTAAGGTCGTTGAACCTGTCCCTGGCCGTGGGCAATGAGGCCGCCAGGAGGAAAGTCAAGGTTTTTGTGGAGCTGAGCACGGGCATGGTGTACAAGTCAGACTCGTCGCCCAGCAGAGAAAAGGACAAGCTCAAGCCGTGGAACAAGATTGCAGTCTTCAAGCTGCAAGCGGAGGAGGAACTGGCAAAGATCGCGGGGTAAGTCCACTTGAGCATGGTACCACAGCGGGCCCGAGCTGACAGGCCGTTTGTAGCCTCAACCTCGTCATCGTGCGCCTCCCTCACGTCTACGGCCCATACGCCTCACAGTGGGTCGCAACAGCGCTGTGCATGGCGCGCGTCTACCAGCATCTCGAAGGCGAGATGAAGTGGCTGTGGACCAAGGACCTGCGCACCAACACGGTGCACATCGACGACGCCACCCGTGCTCTCTGGGACATCGCTGCGTGGTACGCTGCTGGCAAGGCCAAATGGAACGCCGGCGAGATGGGGCCAGTGCCGACCTTCAATGTCGTCGACAAGGGCGAGACCAACCAGGGAACCATGGCCGACATCATTGGTGCCATCTTTCAGATCGAGACTGGCTTCCAGGGCCAGCTGATAAGTACATTTGCGCGCATGAACCTGGACAGCGTCGTGGATGATGTCAACGACGAAATCTTGGGCCCGTGGGCGGAACTGCTTCATGACGCGGGCATCACCAGGCCCGGGCCACTGACTCCGTTCATGGAGAAGGAGCTGCTGAAAGACACTGACTTGAGCATGGACGGCAGCCGGCTTGAAACGTTGTTGGACTTCAAGTATGAGAAGCCGAAGATCACCAAAGAGCTGGTGGTGGAGGTGATTGAGAGTTACAAGAGGATGAAGTGGTGGCCGTGAGGGAAGGCAGGTGAGACAAAAGTGCTGACGTTGGGAATAATGCGGCTGGCCTGCCTGGCTGGCCCTTTAAAGACGACTCGCCCACTGGAAATGAGACACGGGCCCGGCCACATCGGCCGCGAGAAGGGCGGTCCCAAGGGGAAAGGGTTTCCACGGCGAGTCCTGGCCACGCGATGCTAGTGCTGGCGGTGGGTCAGATGTCTCTCACGGCACATGTGGGTGCTGGGCGGGTCGAATCTGGCAGTGTACGAGTACAGGATGTGACGGCCGAGGAGTACGACGTATCTGTGGGTGGCGCTGAGGGAGAGCGACGTTATGCAACGAAAGAATGAACGACCCCTGACTGGCAAAGTGCCGTACCGTGATGTGATGCGGGGGCGCGGCGACGGTGTCGTGCAAGCCGAGTAGACGCAGGATGGCGGCATTCGCACATGCTGTCCCGAGGCAGGACAGTGATGTTCTCGCACGAGGGATTCCTCGGGGGTAGGACAGGCGACCGATGAGGCATAAGAAGCGTGCAGAGGGATCGATCCTGTCATTTCTGCGTCGCAGGTGCGGTTACGAAGCACGACGGCATGGCAGCTGTCGTGCGACGCGGCTGCATCTCGCATGATTGTTCCTGCATGGCGGGAGCATGTGCATGAGGTGCGCGCCAATCTGTCGGCCGGGAGCCGGGATAGGAAGTAGGCGCGGCTCGTCCTGAGACGGGAGCGAGCCAAGACGTCTATCTATTCTTGGGACTGCGCACGCAACCCACAAGATGGACCTAGAACGTAGGTACGGGCCTGGCTACCTGTCAATGCGGCAGTTCGGCCGGGGAGGCCATGGAAGCCAAGCCCGCCTCACGACGTGCGCCGTTATGCCCTACCCTGCCCCTCGCCCTCCCTCCACTGGGTGGAACCTAGAGGCTAGAGTGCAGCAGCATCAGCATCAGCATCAGCACTGGTATCGTCATCGTGTCTATTTGGTATGAAGTGCGCGACGAGCAGAGCCGAGCTAGGGTCGAGTGGCTGGTGCGCTCGCGGCACCCAGGCCTTCAGCAAGTACCGGGCACACGGCGAATGATGTGTCAGGTTCGTCCTCTGTCGACGTCCCGACGAGAGGCGTGTCAAGTACATGCGTATCGCGGGTTATCACTTGCGGAGGTTGGCAGGGTCCTCATGCAGGTGTATGTGCGTGATACCTAGTACCTTAGGCAGGCAGGCTGACGTGAACCCTCGGTACTATGTGCCTCTTCGTATGGACGGGAGGCGCTAGCGCACGTTCGGCGGACGGACGCGCGCCACCCACGGGGAACGAGGTTTCCATGCGGGCCACATGGCGTCCTTTTCTGGCGGGCTGGCCATGAAGAGAGAGGCGGGGGGAAGCCGCTGCCACGGCGTCCCGCGAGGCTGGGTGCCTCCCCCGGGCGTCCGGCGGCGGCGGGCGGCCCGGCTGTTGTCGACTTTTAGCACGTGCAGCAGCAGCAGCAGTAAGTTGGAACGCCGGGCGAAGCTGCTGGAGCCAAGGAGAATGAATACACCGGGCTGGGGAGAAGGGGGGTGCTGCCGAGGGACGGGGCCCCGCGCGCGCGCGCGGCGGACGGAGGAGATCCACGAAAAGAGCCAATGCTCCGGAATGATGGGCTGGCGGTCCGTGGACGGATGGATCGCATAGGTTCTCGCGCAGGTAATGGTGGTGGGGGGGCCGGGGCCCGGGGCGGGCGGTGCTCGGTCGTGGGTAAGTGAAAATGTGGAGGGCTAGGGGGAACGAAACGAGGTTTCTGACTGATTCTGTCGTTGTCGTGGGGAGAAGGGAAGACTTGGCGGAGAGGGACACCGAGGAGGCGGCAGTATTACTAGAAGCTGGCGTGGGTGTGGTGGTGGAGGAGGGCTGAGGTTGAAATAAGAAGAGGGTTTCGGGGTGCAGTGGTCGAGCCGAATTCCAGAGGAGCCGGCGAAACGAAACATTGCATTGGTGACGGGGAGGTGGTGGTGCCTGACCGTCGGTGTACTGACGGTACCCGTTGCGCCTGGTGCCGTGCCAGCTCTGCTCGGCTCAGACCAGCACCATGTAGCCCTAGAGAAATCTCACCGTAACTCATTGCAGTTCCAGTCCTCGGTGGTCCGCCCGCACCGCACTCCATGCCCTCCACTGCCCATGGGCAGGCACCACCACCCCGCAATGCGCCAGGACGCCGACGCCCCCCCGGGTGTGGGGGAACGTCGCCCAGAAGGCCTTCGCACCTGGGCAGGTAAGGCACCTTACCTTCTGTGCCCCGCCGAGCCGGGCACCTAACTCCAAAAGGGGAGCCCCTGGCCGAACGCTGGGCTGCCGCTACCTACGCGAACCGGGGGCCGTGTGGCGCTGTCGACGTCGTC